AAAATAAAAATAAATACCCATGCATGAAACACTGTTCGACATTCCGTTCTTTTCTTTCCGGGGTTCCGGCAAGAACTAGCGTACAGCGCCACCTGGCGGTGAATCCAAGTAGCAGAACTAGAACATCGTCGTTTGCACTTGAATGCCGTCGTCGTCAAGTCTCCTTCTGCTTTGAAAAGGAAGAACTTGGTACCGGCAGCTTCAGAAAACTTTCTCTGATTTTGCACATATTTTTGTAGACTTATAGATTGGATACACTCTCCAAGTTTCAAGTTGCAGCACTTTAGCACCAAGACATCAAGGTGACTCCAAATAAAGACAATTTTTTATATGATTTTATGAAATGTACAGGTTGGAGTATCTCAATTGTGAATTTCTTAGAAGAACTGTTTTTTGTGAAAAACATCTTGAAAGTACCTCATACCAACTCTAAGTTACCCTCAAAATATCTTCACACATGGACTTCTAGTTTTGAATCCTGCCCCATGAACTTGAAGACGCAGTAACAATTCGGCATGGCTAAGTTTTATGAGATTGTTCCATTGTACCATAACGGATTTCTACCTATGATTGAATTGAATTCCTTTAGTTCCTGTTTAGAGAAATAACTTTCATCAGTGGTAAAATTTGTACATTTCAAGTGCTAGGTGTTGAGCTAACATGTTACGATACTCTGTTGTTCATAAAATTACTTGTCTTCTTCTGTCATCCTGCCAGGGACAACACCACTTTTGATACTGTCAGGTATCCAAAAAGCTAAAGTAAGCCAATCGAAAGAGCTCTATCTTCTTGTTCGAATATAATCTTTAAAATCTGGAACACTACTGTAGTAGCCCCTGACACTGGGTAGTGTCGGCCAGCCAGCCAAACAGACATGTAGCAGTTGTTGCCTACCTACCAGGCGGTACCTCTAGGGCGCCTGCCGACTGACCATGGGGCAGCACCCCTTGAGTGCTCCTCGGAATAAGTCTGCAGGTGGACGTCCCCTATACCCTAGTACAAGAGTCAGTTCGAATTATTCAAGTTCAACAAAGAATAATTACTGTGAACGAACAAACATTCTCCCCCTGTAATGTTTTTTTGATTTGAACTTGATTGGTATGTTCTACTGACTGAGACCGTAAAGAAGAGAGGATTGCGTTCGGGGGTGGTGTTCGTGCACGCTCCGCACCGGGCTGCCGACAAGCAGTGCCCCCCTCTCTCCCTCTCCCCCTCTCTCCCGGTCCTCCTTGCACGCGCACACTTAACGGAGACGGCACAACTCGAGGACGTAGTCCCGGAATACGTTATTTCCCGTCGAGTCGTCCTGCAGGAAGGGCTGCATCTGACCGGCCTGGAGGTTCGGGTCGGATAGCAGGGGGGGGGGGGCAGGAGTGGGTTCTCGGGATCGAGCTCGGGATGGCCAAGACCAGGCCCAGGGAAATAGTCTCCTCGCGGCCGGCATCCTGGGCGACATCCCGGACGTATCTCCGCCGGCACGGCGCACCTGACCAAACGGGGCAAAGAGCGAGAGAGGAAGGGAGAGAGCGAGGCGGGCGAGCGGGCGGACGGACGCTGCCGGACATCGCAGTTCCGTGTTCTCTGGCGTAATTTCCTCGTTGTGGAGGACCGTAGCCGGGTGGCGCTTTTACCTCTTCCCCACCGCGCCGGCCGGACCCGCCGGACCCCCTGACCAGAACCAACGGCGGCGGCTCCGCGGGCGCCGCGCTCCGAAAATCCACCCCCCATCATGATGGACTCGTATGTGGGTACGGCGCACCGCGCACCGCAGCGCGGTCCAACCCGCCGAACAAGTACCTGAGCATCCTCGGCGGGCGGTGGGCGGCGGGAGCGGTCCAGTCCTCCGGAGGCCCCTCCCCTCGGTCGGCTTACACAGGCCCGCCCCGCACCGCCCACAGTCCGGCCGCATTAACAAACACCGGGGAGTCTTTAGCGGGGGGAACCTGCTCCGCACTTCCTCCGGGCGGGTCCCGGACCCCTATCCCTCCCGCGCACACGCCTCCCCATCCGGACCCGCGTGCGGGCGGCGGCGTGTCTGGCCCAGCTTGGGCTCCGACCTCGGCGCCGACCCCGTGCATAAATTGGGATTTAATCGCGTGAATCGGTCAGCGCCGCGCACCCCGCGCCTCCACGCCGCCGCCCGCCCCCGAGGCCCCCGCGATGGCCCGGAGACACACCCCCGCCGCCGCCCCGCCCTGGTGTGCGTTGCGTTCGGCCCTGCCTCTCTTCCCCCTTCGCCAATCTCACCGCCCTATAAATTACCGGAGTGGCACGTGGTGCTCGTAGCAGGCGGTGGCAACACCCGAGGGGCTGCAGGAGGAGGAGGGGGAGGGGGAGCATGACGGCGCGCGGGACGAGACACACAAGCGTCCCTGAGGGTGCGGCCAGACGGCGCGGCACAAAAAGTAACTACACACAAACACACACTGCGCTGCGCACTGCGCCCCGCCGAGTCGGTATTAGAACCCGCCGACAACTTACTCCCCCCGGGGCGCGCCGGGGCGGGGCGGGGCGGGGCGGGCCCGGACAGCGATAACGGACGGCATAAATCTTGTTTGAATACGGGCGGGCCGGCGCGGCAGTCACCCACTTGGCACCCCGCGGAGTAGCGCAAGCTCTGCGCGGC